ACAAATGAACTATGTATATCCATTTTCTGTTCGGTGAATGTCAGCATCACCGAAATGGGAATATTAAAAGATATGTAACAAATTACGTTTTTATAGCTCGTCATTTATTCGTTTTAAACATGGAATTGGTTATTATTATTACATTAGTTTTAAAGTCACGATACTCAAACCAAACGCATTGATTTAATTAACTTGAAATTGTTTGTTACTTTCAAAGCTTCTATCTATACATTTTTACGACTTTGTATTACATTTTCCTTTTTAAATGGGGTTTATAGAGTTGCTCACCAAACGAAATGCTTACTCTACTAATTAATTCCCACTCAATTGGAGGAATAATATCAAATAAATTACATTGAATAGGAAATTGAAACGAAATGCTGAAGAAATCTCAAATGCGTCAGCATTTTGGTAATAAATTGCACTTGGCCAAGACTTCCTTCCATCGAAAATAGATTTATTTATGAATGTTGCCGGTTAGATGGACAGCCGGGCAGAACTTGCAGCCATTCCCATCTGCGTCTCACCTGATCGGTGTCCCATTAGGGCAACAAATTAGCTCTTGGCCAGTTCTCTTGGCCATTCCAGGGTTCCGGCCCGGTTATTTACGACCAGGAGATGCAATCCCCAAGCAGATCGAACAGCATTTGTGCATTTTGCTTTGCCATAAATCATAATGGCAGTGCATGTCCCCCAGTTTACTACTTTTATGGCACTGTGCACAGAAAAAGTATTCGTTTTATGACCAAACTTAAGTATTGAAAAATTTAAAGATATTCTGGTGTATTGCTATTATATATTATGTGCACTATATTTTGGTAATTTTTAAACACATTTTTACTTAGTATAATGTAAAATTAGTAACATTTTCTATCTCTTTATATCTTTATATAGTGACAGATGTGATAGAAACAGTGGTTACTTCGGTATCTTCAAAACAAGTAAATATATTGATAAGTGATAGTGACGAGTAAAACTTAAGAAGGTGATGTAGTATATGTTCTCCATTTTTCTCTGTGTAATACGCAGTAAGTTGTCTTACTTTCAGCTGGCGGCGAAGGCTTTTGCCTAATTGATTTACAACACTTTCCAACCTTACTCAATGCCGGAGTGACAAATGCAGGGCTCTGTCGCTGGCTTCTCTTATTATTATTATTATTGTTGTTATTACTAGTATCTTTATCTGCCGACTTGCGGGCTATGTTCTTGGAGGCGGAATGGGTTGGAAAATGGGTTTGCCAGGGGGTTGGGGATGGTCGGAATGGGTTTGAAATGGGAATGGGAATGGGATTGGGGATGGGGTTTCGCTGGGGACTTGCTCAATGCTCGATTGCGCGACAATCGCAATGGGACCATATACTATATGCGTTTCGCAGCTTATCATTCGCAGCATATATACGTACTAAATGTATGTCTATATGTATGTGGCCGAGTGTGTGTATATGCTGACTCCCTGGGGTCGCATTGGAGCGTGAGCATTTTGCAAAAATAATTTATGGCAAACTGTTGATTGCTGACATGGGGCCCCCAGAGCAGCAGCAGCAGAAACAACAGCAACAACGAAAACAGGGCACAAAAAACTAAAACAAGACTAAAACAGAATTATTAACAGATGTAGCAACGCCAGAAGATAGGCACACAATTGCTATGAAAAGAAAAAACAATGATACCCGAGCAAATTATCAGCAATATTAAAGGAAACAAGAGCAATGACAGCCCCATCAGATAGCTAAGTGGTATCAACAAGTCCAGCAAGAGCAGCATGAGCAACATCAGCAGCACTAACATTAGCAACAAAAGCAACAGCAACATCTGGAACAAGAGAAACATCCAGAGTAACAGCAACACAAGAAAAACAAATCACAAAAACTAAAAAATCGAAAACAGAATTATTTGAATGATAACAATAGCACCCAAACAGTTATCAGTAACATCAAAAGCAACAAGAGCAATGCCAGCAACTTAGAAAGCTAAATGGTATGAATAATTCTATCAAAAGCAACATCTGTAACAGAAACATAAGCATCGGCGACATAAGCAACATCAGTAGCAGCAGGAATAGGAACAAGAGCAACATTAACAGCAATAGCAGCTACAGCAGCAGCAAAACTGCCAACAGTAGCAACAGCAACATAAGAAACAAAAGCAACAGCTGCACTTGCAACATGACAAGAGCAACATTAAAGAACCATAGCAACATCAGCAACACAGCAACATTAGGAAGAGCAGAAACACTACGGCCACGATACAACACCAATGGCTTAATAGACAAAACTAACAAAGTAACAACAGCAACAAAGAGTAAGAAAAGCAACAATACTGGTAAATAACATTATGGCCCATACAGCAGCAACAATAGTTGCTTCAATAACAGCAGCAACAATAGTTGCTACAATAACAGCAGCAGCATTGTAGCTACAGTCGTAGCCCTCTTTTGGCAGTATTCTGTACACTGAGAGAAATGTATCCAAAAACTGTGCCTAACGCAACTATTAACTTGCTCAATTCTATTTAGTTGTTTCCCCTTTTTTACCAGTGCATCAATCAGACCCATTATTGTTGGGTACGCGGCTAGAATTTATCATTAGTTTACTCGATGTACAAGCATACAAAGTATGTATGTGTGTGGGATTATATGCCATATAGATTAACAATTGTAATCGCTGTTGTTGTAGCTGCTGTTGTTGATTTTGCCAAGCGAATCGAAACACAACGAGCAAAACAATAAGCTAACAGCAACTGCGGCAACGACAACGGACAACGCGGGTGTTGATGTGTTTTCGAAAACATTGCGTCATTTCCAGATGGCAAGCTTTAAGCCAATTGGCCCCCGGCACAGCCCCAAAACCCCCCATACATGCCCCTCAGCCACGCCCCTGTGCAGTGGAAACACAGAGACCAAGTGGCAGACGATCGAGTTGGGTTCGTAGAAAAACTGCGCCAATTCTACGAACTGAACTTGGGGATGTCGACGCCTGTATCGTGAGGCGTCTGGCAGTTGGATACCCATACATGCCTATGTACATGGTATTCGTGTGGGGGGCTGGTGAGGGGGAGGGGTAGGGGGAGAGGGAGGCGTAGGCATGCCTGAACATGATTGATATTTGCCTGCCTTGATTACTCGTAGTCACAGCCCGTCAAAAGTGGTGATAAAACGACAAACACAGCTCGAGATACTTATCGTGTCGTGAAGGAAATTACACAAAAGTTGGGGGTTGCAACTTACAGGGTATTCGATGTCTGTGCTTTTAGCCTAATATTTATATATTTTTTTCTATTTTATCATGAATTTCACATCTGCCTATTATCGCAGTCTTATTAGAAATAGTTGCTAGTATGCACATATTGATTCTTATCAAGCTTGCAATGGTTTTAAAGACCGCACTTGCAACTTTTTGTTGAACCTATGAAATAGCGATTAATGGCCGCACTTGAAAGGCTAATGAAGTACTAGTACCAGCCCATATCTATACCACATCCGCAAGAGGAACCTTTGGAACGGGCTATAAGTGGACGAGATGAGCCGTGGATGAGCGCAATCTGCATTTGCAGACAGTTGGGCGACTTCTTGGAGCTGCAGCAAGTGTTTTCCTTCGCTGGGGGAGATAACTTACCACTGAATGCGAAATTGCTGTGGGGCAGGGCCAGTGGATGTTGATTAGCAACGACCTTAAATAACCCAGTGATTCTATAGACGCGCTGCAATAGTATCGTCTGGGCAGTATTTGCTTTCGAAACGAAACTGATTCGAGTGCAAATATTTACCATGTGTTTGAGCTTTTCTTTGATCACCTAAAAGCAGTAGGTGCTGGTTGCTTTTCTTTTAGAGGCGGAAAGCTACGTCAATGCGGGATCAATGGGATTAAGCACTGCCATTGTATTGCTCCATTTATCACTTTTAACACCATCTAGTGCAAACATACTGTTTGACTTGTAGAGAAACTAATTTATCACTTAAAGCTGTTCAATGGGAAAATGAATAGTCCACAAATACGAACACAAAGTACATTTGCTCATCACAAATAAATAATAATAATATTCAGTTAATAATCAATAGAATGAAGACTATTTGTCATTCTGTTAACGGTGCAGTCATGGACTATTTATATATATAAATTTAGCAGGATTTAAGTGTTGTTAATTGTGAATTAATAACTGTTTAACTATTAGATGTGAAAAACGACTATTCCATTTGCGTCATCGGTACCTTCACCCAATTGCGTTTATGATTAAAACCCAACCTTAGAGAGCCATTGAAAACTAGTGAAACCAAACAAAGATCGGAAGTCTATTCCATCAAGAACCATCAACAATAATCACTTTTCAAAGAACCATTATTATCATTTATTCAAGGCTTGAATAGCGCTGCGTAAACAAAATGCCCTAAAAAAGTGAAATTTGCTTACTGCAATCCATAAAAGATAAATTAGTTATTATCTTTTTTTGTATATTTTTGAATTGTTTATTTAGCAATTAATGTTTGCTTTGCGGCCCCTCCTTTAAATTGCCTAGTTCTTTGATACAGTTGAGAGCGTTTGTGATTTATGGACGAGACCCTCGACGAGCATGTGAGTGTAAGTGTGAGTGTAAATGTGAATGTGAATGCGACTATGAATATGAATAATCGCGCCGAAGGCGAACAACAAGCCTCATTGTTCTGGGCGGTAGTTGCTCAATAGGTCTGACAGTCGGAATAATTAGGCAATACTCACTCACCGCACAATCGAACCCTTTTACATGATTTACTTGCCAAGGAACTTGGATCACCAGCACTTATATATTACCCCAATTTGTTGGCTTTTAACCGAATTGAATGACCGCCAAGTTTTAGTACATTCTATACACTTCCTACTTTTATTTATTTGTTATTTATTATCCAATTCCAACTAAGAAATCATCAAATTGATCAACATCGGGTATCAATTACTCTGTAAATCAAATTCCATTTCAATGAAAAATCCCATTGCTGACCTTCGGGCTAATAAAATTCAATCGTGTCATTTTCAAAATGAAATTCAACATTTCCGCATTTTTATTTGGAGCCCTTCGCTCGATTCAAATTAGTTATGCATAACAAAAATTAAGATTTGCACATTTCATGTTTCATTGTTTTCTCCTTTCCATTTCGTTTTTAGACTATTTACAGTATTAAGTTTATACACATGGATTTGCATATGCGATAAAAAGTTAATTAAATTTACATGTTGTTACGGCTCCATTTATTTGCATTACATGTAGACATTTTGCAATCAATTCGCGTTTGTTTGCTTTTCCCTTTTATGCATAAGATAACAAGGCTTAATTGACTAAAAAAATAAAGGCACCTGAGTTCAAAGTGTTATTGCCAAATGTAAATATAATAAAACGAAAATCAAAAATTAAAAATAAAAATCAAAAATATAACGCTTGCTGGAAATCAAAAAACGATAATCATAAAAAGTATATATTTGTAACCGTAGCATATATATCATACCATACGCACATGTGTATGGGTGTGTGCATTAAAAATACACTGTTAACGTAAAGCATTTATAATTAATTCAATTTAATTAATGGTATGTTGTTTGTTTCACCCCTAATTCAACTGCACTCCTTTTACTGACTGACTGACTGCGGATATACTCACTGATATCGTTCATGTGTTTATAAATGTATATAGATAAAGTACTTATATGGTCATTGTCCCTGAATGAAATGCTCGTGTCCCCCGCTTTCCCGCTACCCCGCTATCCCGCTAATTAAACCCCCTGGTTCTACGAATTCTTGGCTCTGGTTTTGACCAATTGTTGCTTTGCTGACTAGTGCGTTGGCTGTCGCTTTGCCCCCTTCCCCCATCGTAGTTTGTCTACATGGTTTTGATCGGATTCACCCAATATCCCAATCCTGACCCTCGGTATTTGCTAGTTTTATTGCATATTGTACAGCTGCGGTGGCTCCTTGCTGGCCGGCATCCCGTGATCGTACTTGCCCAGCTCGGCTTCATAAAGCAGATTGTTGATCAGGTGCTTCACCACTATCTTCGACTTGGACGTCTTCAGTTTGCGTATGGTTATGGCCACGTATTCCCCGAATACCCCATATTCGTCCACATGATTGGCACTCAGGCCACCGCCGCTGCCGCCGCCCCCGCCGCCGCTCCCGCCCCCGATTAGCGGCTTGGGGGGCGTGGCGCCGCTGTTGTTGCTGCTCGAGCTGCAGTTGCTGGATGTTGCTGTTGGGTCCAGTGAGGTGTTGTTGTTGGTGTTGCTGCTGTTGCTGTTGCTGTTGCTGTTGCCGTTGCCATTTGACGTTGAGAGATCACGATCACGATCACGTTTTAGTGCCATGTTACTGGAATGTTGTTGCTGTTGCTGCTGCAGATGCAACGCTTGCTGCTGCTGCTGCTGCTGATGTGGCTGGTGTTGTTGTTGGTGGTGGTGCTGCTGCTGCTGCGGTTGCCCGTTGCAGTGGCTCAGGCTAAGACCGTGATTGTTGCTAAAGTGCTGCTGGAGCGCCTGAAACGCGAGCTGGTTGTGGTTCATCTGCTGCTGCTGCTGCTGGTGGTGGTGGCCAGCGGAACCGCCGGCACCCGCCCCCACTGCACCGCCCACCACCTTGATGGGCGTCAATGTCAAAGCGCCCACAACGTGCTCCACGCCCATCGCCTTGCGTTTGCGGTGGTTGTACGTTAGATCCGTCGGCTTGTAGTAATTTATGGGCGACGGCGTGCTCGTCCGTCGATCCAGCATCCCCAGCTCCGATTCGTGTTCGATCTGTTTGGGGTAAGTCAAAGGATGGAGAACGGGGGATACGGATGTGTTTTAGACTGTGTTGAAAGGTGTGCACTTGGAACATGTCTTGCAGACGAAGCTGGAAATACCCTATACCAAATCTATCTATTCCAACCAAGTCTATATAACTTGTAAACAATTCTAGCCCATACTTAGTATTTTAACGAATTTAAAAGTTAAGTGATACTTGCTGATAGGTGTGCCTTTGAATAATTTTCTGAGCAATGCCCAAGCTAAAAATTGAGATTTTCCCAGAGACTCTTACAAGGTTGCGCAGGATGAGCATTTCCCTTCGTAAAGTAAAATCTGTTCGACATTTCATCAGCTTCATATATTATTTTGCTAAAGATGGGCCGGTCAAAAAATACCGGAACCTGTTTCCCTATACATGTACATTTATACATATTTATAGTATCATCGTCTGACGAAATCAACGCTGAGTTGTTTCATCAACTATTTACTAGAAGCGCTTCGCTCTGTATACTAATAAAATAAACAATTAGATTCGTAGGTTTGCCAAGTGGCTGAAGGGAACGACGACTGGGACATGTGGGTACTTTGATAAGCCACCAGAGTCTAGTAATTAAATGAAATAGTGGGCACAACCTTGGCTGGGAAAGTATCAATAGTGAGAGCCATCTTAATCAGGCCATTTTGCAATCAATGCAGCTTGGGAAATATGTAATATTCATGAAATGCATTGGGTTCCTAAAATTTGGATCACAAAATCCCAAGTGATTCACATGCCTTTGACTTTAAACGCTTATCACTAGCGATATACGGATGTATTATATCTGCCTTAGCAACACCAATGACCTTCAGGGAATCAAAAGTTTCGACGGTCAATGTGCAAGTTGTGGACGTCACAGAGTGATAAGATTCGTCATCGAATTAAGTTAGTTACAGAGTTTTATACACTGTTGCCCTATCGGGTAAGTAATCTAATCTTATTATTTGCTTGGAACCTTTAATCGAAAATATCGGAGAAGAGCTGGAATCTTAAGTTACTGCCAGTTAGATTATATCATTTTGGTTAAATAAATGCCACATGTCAACGATTTTTAAGTACTTGCAATACAAATATTACACTAAGGCTCGAAAAACAAATGGCTGTTGTATTAAGATACTTAATCGTTATTTCTACTAATTCAAAATACATTATTCAAGAGTGATTTCGATTCCCAGACCCGTGTCAAAATGATTTTCTAATTACACCCACGCACCACTTGACTTGCCACTTCAGGAGTTGTGATAAAAAAACAAAAAAATGGTATATTATCCGCCCCAAAATAAAAAAGTAACTTCAACCTGTCAATTCAATTAAAGTGCGATTAACAATCAACGCCTGGGTACTTACAATTTCTGTTTTCACATCCTCGGCGCTGATGTTGCAGTAATTCTCGCCATCCAAATCGGAAGAGGAACGTGTCTGCGAAGATCGAAAAAAAAGAAAAAAAAAATAAATCGAGAATTAGCGTAGACCGTAGAGTCAACAACAAATACAATTATGGCAGTGTGGAGAATTTGCCAGACAAATAATAACAGAAAACAACAAAACATAATAATAGTAGTGGACAGACGCAAAGCGAGAAACGCGAGAGAAATAGAAAACAAATTAGAATAATAATAAAAAGCAAACTCAGCCACAAAAAAACAAACACACAAAACTCGATGCAGACTCGCAAGTCGAGACGCTGGCGATTAAATTAGTCACGGGCGGTACAAGGTGCCAGGGGGCGGGTCAGCGGGAGGGAAGCGGCTCAGGGGCGGGAGCGGTACGGGCGGGACAGCAGCCAAGTCAATACCGAAGTGGACCAACGGGTGGACAGACTCACAGACGGACGTGAGACGAGTGACCAAAAAATGACAGACCAAAAATAACACAAATGATGGGGATTTCATCGAGACATCGACGAGAGAATACCCTATCTCTCAGGCGGTACATATGTAATTCAGCCAAATAATTCCATTGATTTAGTTACTTTAGTTTATTGGGCATCATTATATCCGAAAGTTATATACTAATAATTTCAAAATTAATTTCATATTTTAATAATTTTCGAAACTTAAAAACTTAGAATAATACTTCACTATTTTGTTTTCAAAATACTTACAGTAGCTACAGTACCTAAACAAATCTTAGCTAATTTCCTTTGAAACTCTAACTGAGTGTATAGGTGTGATAAATTAAAATGTAATTCCTATGGGATTGTAATATTACAATTACTTACATAAAGCACACAAACTTTATTGGAATATTCTGGTCAAGGTCGCCTTATCAGACGCTTAGTGGGGCGACCAATGTGACTAATGCCGTTGTTTGCTTCAGTCAGTTAAGATAATAATGCATCTATTATTTATTATTTAAGATTACTTAATATCCGGGATGCCGATCGAACCATGTAGCTACTAGGCATCTTGGCAAGCGCTTCTTCTACGGAGCTTCGGGGAAAGCTCGCTGGGCAGCTGAAGTTGCCCGATTGCTGGACGAGCTTCTGGCCAAAAGTCTTGGACTTTTTTCGGGAGAGAATCGGAATCAAATATAAAACCGAACGAGCGGGCGAGGCGACATAGGAATAACGAAACGCAGTCCGGCAACTTGCTATATTAATATTGCTACGTTTATATATATGTGCATAACATACATACGTACATATGTATTCATATTGGAGCTACCGCTGCTTGGGGGCGGCGGAGCATCGTTGCGGGCCGAGGGGCGTGGCTCGGTGCAAAACGTGGGGCCGTCGATTTCTACGGCTGATGCAACACACATGTGTATGCATTATGGATATACATATCGACATATGTACAAATGTGCATTTGTAGGTTTGGCGGTGTGTACAGCAGAAGCGGCAGCGCAAATCAAAGCCAGTTGACACACACACACTGGCACACTAACACCAATACTGGCTTATCAGGCGCAACGCAATAGCAGCTACCGAGCACAGTGGGCCTCATCAACTTTGGGCAAACCATTTAAATAAATAGGGCCTACTTATCATAGCATCCTAATAACATTAGATACGCATCAAAATAACAAATTTAACATAAAAAAAATTTAAGCATAAATATTACAAGACATTAGAAAACATAATTAAAAAAAATTATTTAATTTCAAGTGGGAAAATTTTTTTTTCTTAAAAAAAATACTAATACGCCATGTGGTCCCCTATATTCTTACACATACATACATATGTATGTCTACGGGTGAAAGATAATTAAAACATATTTTAAATTAAACTAACATAATTTTAAATTTGTATTATTTTAAATAGGAATTTCCACACATGGGATTGTAATTCTAGTGGTGTAAAAAAAAATTACTCATACGCCAAGTGGCTCAACAATAATTAGTCAACGTTTTGCAAATATTTACCTACAAATCTTTTTAAGCATTCTTAGTATTTAAAATAGACATTTCATGTAAAAAGGATTTTGCTTTTCATTTTCTTGGTTTCAAAAAAAAATTACGCATACGCCATGTAAACCAACCAAGAATTCGTCACAATTCTAAAACTCATTTGCCCTTCTGGGTCGAGTTCCTTGTACATTTGTACGGGATATAACATAAATTTGTTATTATTACTAGTTTTAATCATGCAATGGCAAAATACCTCCAATCATTTGCTAAACTTATTACGTATACGACATGTTGGCCCACTTTTTAAATGCTGGAACTCACATACTTTTGAAATAGTTATGTTCGCTTGACTTATTGGCAAAGTTTATCGAAATGTTCCTAACCTCAAAAGACTCTCAGAAAAGTTGAAGCTTTTGCCCCACTGTGCGCCACCGGTTGCGCCGCTAGCGTTGATGAACCGCTAGACAGCGACGCCTGCGACGGCGGGCGGAGGCGGAGGCGGCGACAGCAGCAGCGCGTGTGCTGTGCCTGGTGCCGCAAAACAAGTCAAACCACTGGCACTCACACGCGCGCACATGCAAAGCTCCAAACAAATACGACTAACAAAAAAATCAACTAAAGGCCGAGGAGAGACACATGCAAAATAGATGGAGGTATACACATACACCAATAGATTGGCCAAAGCAAAAAGCAACAGCACCACTTACCACAGCCGCCGAGGAGGATTCGATCAGGGCACCGCTGACCGCCGCCGCCTCCTCGAGTTCCAATTCGTGAGCGGTGTCCATATCGCCAGCGGTGTCCACATCTCGCTCCCGATCTCGAGCGTTTGCAGCCGCCGCAGCGGCAGCAACGGCGGCCACAGTGGCCGCGATGCGAGCGGTAAGCTCGTCGTGTTGCTGCTGCTGCTGCTGCTCCACCTGCAGCATAATGTCCCTGTCCACCAGCTTGTCCGCCTTCAGCTGCTCCAGATCCAGGCTGTGCATGAGGGCCAGCTTCTCGTCCACTTCCGTTTCCGTTTCGGCATCTTGATCTGGATCCTGATCGCGATCCTGATCCCGCTCGCCATCCAGTATGAATCTGATGGCCTCGTAGGCAAACCACATCGGCTGATAGATGACCCCGCGACGTCGGCCGGTCATTACCTTGCCATGCTCCCGATGAAAGGAGCTGCGCAGGGATTTGATCTTCGATCTAATCGATCGTATTTCCGTGCCATATTTCTGGCTCAGCAGCTTGAGTGCCTCGTATTTGGTCTGTTTGATGTGGTAGCCTTTGGTGTTGGGATCCCAAAGGACTCGCTGCCGGCGATAGTCCTCGATGAAGTTCAGTATCGTCGAGCGGGACCATTCGACGCGATCAGCTGGTGCGGCCGCCGCTGCTGCTGCTGCTGCTGTTGTTGTTGTTGTTGTTGCAGTGGGCGAAAGGGGGAGTGGCAGCGTGGCAACATCGGCTATCAAAGCAATGGCATTGGAGTTGGCATCGAGCTTGAACTGCGCTGCGGCTGCGCTGCTGGACATTGTTGTTGTTGTTGGTAATGGTGAAAGTTTTCCCAGCCTGCGCGGGGGGGTCGGGTTGGTTGGTGGGTGATTGGTGGGTGTTTGGTGTACCGGTGTGTCGGTGTGTCGGTTGGTTGTGTTGGTGATAGGAAAAGGAGTGAGAGAGAGAGAGAGAACGCAACGCAACGACGCGACGAAAAAAGCGTCCACAACACGTTGCTTTTGACTTTCGACTGGCGGCAGCAGCGGCGGCGGCGAGCGTTGAGCGTTCGTTCAGCTGGCCGTTTTGTATTTGTGGCAGCGGCAAGTGCGGCGGCGGCAGCTCAGCTGCACTTTGTGCGAGAGAGAGAGCGCGTGTCCCGCGGAGAGCGAGAACGAGCGAGCGAGCGCGAAGCGTCAGTTGTTCAGTTGCGACGTCCAAAATCAACGCAAAGGTAAAGGTGTGCGACTTTGTCTTTGCCTCTCTCTCTCACACACCCGCTCTTCTCTATGGCTGTGTGTGTGTGTGTGTGTGTGCGCGCGTGTGTGTGAGTGCTGCAGCAGGCGTGCTTTTTGTTTTTTTTTCGCGACCTGTTGTTGCTCGCTTGATAATGGCAGGCTGTTGTTGCTGCTGCTGCTGCTGTCGCTATCAGCTGTTTTATTGCATGTTGTTGTTGTGGTCGCCACCGATGTGCGACGTGGTGTTGCTGCTGCCGTTGTAGTTGTTGCCCCTATAGAGAGCACACCAAAAAAAGGTTCAGTTGTTTGTAGATTGTTGTTGTGTTTTGTTGGCGTTCCGCCTCTATTGGTATTATTGTTGGTGTAATTATTATTAATGTTGCGGTTACTTCTACTAAAGCTGCTCTTGTTGAGAGTTCTCCATAGAGCTACTAATGGTGTACCGGTTAGCGTTGGTGTAATTATTATTGGTGTAGTTTTTAATCAGTTGCAGGTGTATTGTTGGTGTTGTGGTAGCTTAAGTGCTCGATAGTGCTGTAAGTGTTATTTCCAATGTTTCTATTATTTTGCGTTATAGTTGCGTTACCGTTGGTGTTGCTCTTTGTGCTGCCGTTGTGGCATCAGCTGTGGTTGCTCCTGCCGCTTTGTGGTTGTTGTTGTTGTTGCTGGTGAATCATCTGATATTCCAGCTGGTGTTATCAGTTTCTTTATTGCTTTTGTTGCTGAGGTGAGTTGGGTTGCTGCTGCTTTTCTAGCGATTGTTGTTGCCACTGCTGTTGCCTGTGGCTTTTGCTATTACTGCTGCTGCTGCTGCTCTCTCGTGCTTTTCTTTTTTGGTTGTCGCCACTTCGTCGACGCTCGTTCGCCGCTCGTCGTTCGCTGTTGAAATCACGATTTGTACTAATTTCACATATTTAAACTGTGTGTGGCATGCGCGCTGCTCCAAACAGGCCGGTTGCCGTTGTTGTTGTTGCTGCTGCTGTTGGCCGTAAGTTCGTCACTTGCTCTTCGCTCCCCCGCCCCCTGGTCCGCACACCTTTCCGTTCGCTTTGCTCGTGTCGCGACTTGCGATCGTTGCTGTTGCTGCTGCTGCGACTGCCTGCTGCTGCTGTCGTCAACAGCCCCACGTTGCACAGTGGGCCCGATGCGATCGCACTGCGCATGTGGCAGCGGCTGCCAAACGGCGGCGACCATGAGATGCTGGAAACCAACGAGCACATACGTTGGCATCTAGGCAAAAGCCTATTTTTAAACAGCGACACATGGCACAGTGTGGCGATCGCAGTTTACGTGTTGCAAGTAGAAAAGCGTTGGCAAGAATCTCGTAGAACAAGGTGCTTCTTATAGAAAATTTAAACACAAAATAGTCAGATAGGCAACTATAGCCAAAGTTAATTAATAAATGCTTTGTCTTTATAGTGTTTATAGAAAAGTACACGATGAACTCATACTATTTCTACTTTATGCTATTTTATTGTTACTGAAGAAATTAAGAACAAGTAAAAAAAAATTAATAAATATAATTTTAAAACCCTCAACACGTAAGTTTGTCTTGAAAAAAAATATTCCTTAGTAATTTTTTTTTTGTCAAGCCGAATTTAAGTGTTTTCTCTGAGATAAACAGAACTGAATCATTATTTCATATAACAGCTTTTGCTCCACTGTGCTATTGGCCGCTAAAGCTGTAAATATTGTTGCTGCCTGGTCCTCTCACTCGCCCTCTCTCTCTCGCACTTCTCTCAACAGCACGGTTGAGAAGTTGTTATCGTTGCCACTGTCGTTTTTCCTGTTGCTGTTGTTGTTATTATTATTGCTGCTGCTGGACACAGCACAAATAATAACAACAACAGCAGAAAGCTCGAAAACACGGTAACAAATTTAGCGAGTCAGCAAAATAACAGAAAAAGAATCGAAAAAGGAATTGCATTTCACGGAGAGTTTGGACGTTTTCGGGCTTGTCTTTCACATATGCTGTTTCATTATACCCTTCTCAAAGAGTTTTGCCTATTTGGACAGATAAAAAAATCTTTTTTAAATCAATCTTTTTTAATTTAAGCGAATCATTATCAATAAATTATCATTTATATTACAGCTAGAAAAGAATGATCGTATTAAGATGTTCATTAATTTACATATTAATATGTATTTGATGAAGTTATTATATTAATAAATTAGGTGCTAGTGCTGATAGGGTATCGCTGTTTCGATCTCTATTGGACCTTCCATTTTCGTCTCTTAATCGCAAGGTGTCGCTCACGTAGGCAGCACTTTGATTTTGCATTCCCCTGCACTCTCTCCTTCTGCTGCTCCAGCGCGGGCACATGCATGCATACGTGCATATATGTATGTATGAATGTATGCACTCTCATTCTCCTCTGAATGGCGTGTCCTAAACCACGTGCGAATATTTTGTATAATTTCACCGAATTTCCGTGTCTCATTCGCACGCATGCACACATACAGACATAATTAGAGCAACTTAAGCGGACTTTTCTTATCAGTTTTGCATTTCGCCTTGCACAATCGCTACCTCTCTTTCTCGCACAGCTGTTTTGCATTGCGGAAGCTTTCGCGTCTTCTCCTTTTCTGTCCGTCCTAACGTCTCATTATCAAGCTGCGCCGCTGCCGGAGCTGACTGCGAAGTCGCAGCCGCTGCGACGTGTTTGCCGCACCTACGATAACGGTATTAAGCTGCTGACATGACCATGCACCTACCTCGACAAAAAACCGGTTCTACTGACCGCCGCATACCCTGCGCTACAAAAAACCAATAAAACTGCCACTTTGCTAACGCTTTAAAATGAAAGATATGCAGTTGCAATTAAAGAAGTCATGTGTGGTATATATTAAGAATTAAAAAGATATTTGCAACATTAAGCTAAAATTAATTGTTTTAAAATAAGTAGGGAGGGCCGTATAACTTTTTAATGTTGGGGAAGTTGGAGCTTACTGAAATATGGTTAATAATGTTGTTGAATAAAAAAATATTCTTCGAATATTTTTAAATTTTGTTGGACACGAAACGTTGCTTAGTTGATCACTTTGATAATGTAATAGCTTTTTAATACTAATTGTTCATATACCCATTGTTGATGAACACATATATGAACACATATGTACTAATTACTTTTGAATGATTGAATAGTTATTTAGATAATTGATACTTCGAAAGCGCTAGGTCTAAACATGGACCCCATGAAATATTGTACCCAATTTGATATTTGTACACATTTAAAAATGTTACGATGGTGGATATAACAAATTGTGCGATGAATAAAAGACTGCTGACTCATTAATCCCAATGTGTAAGCACTTCCTTAGTGGCCTTTGTGCCAATGCAAGTGCGTCCAGGCCAAAGTAGTGTGATTAATCGCCATTAAAAGCGGCGAAAATAACTTGGCCTGCAGCGTGACTGCGGCACATTAGACCCCATCCCAAATTGGCCCGGACTGCGTCAGGCAGGCAGGCAAACGAAGCGACTCGACGTCAGCGATGTGGCGCAAAGCTTTTTGCATTCAATTCTCGCTGCCAGTTGACAAATTGACGTTCAAAGTTGTTTGCGCAGCATTTCAGTTGCAGTTGCAGTTTCGGTTGCGTTGCCTGTTTTTCCTCTTCTTCCTCTTTTCTTCTTCTTCTTGTTCCAGCCCGTCTTTTCAACCGCTTTCCATCCGCCGACATTCAGGTTCCTTATTACGTTATGACTCTCGACGGTGCGAGAGTTCTCCCCACTTCGCTACCTTTAAATCTGATTGTGCGATTGAGTGCGAATGAACGATATAGCATAACACTGGCCTACAAAAGTCAGCATACGGACAAAGAAAAATTACTAAAACTACTAATTGCACATAAGGCCCCTGAAAAGTATGCAACGATTTATTGTTACTCCGAAAATCGAGATGATCACTTCGATAACTACTGTTTACTAATGCACTTACTGTGCACTTACTGTGCATGCTGTTTACTAAGGCAACCCATTTATATTCCGAAATTCGTATTAAGTTACAGTATACAGTATTAAGTATTAAGTTACAGCTGTTTTAAAGTTTTTTAGTAATGGTTTGATCACTTAAGTGTTATTTCCTTAGCCAACTTGAATAATGTAGAACCGATGACCAAACCTAATTGTTGCTTAATATAACATTAGAATTGATGAACTTTAGCTCACCGACTTTATTGCAAATAGTTATTTGTTGTATGTGTGTTTGTGCAAATACGAGCGAATACTTTCTATCCGCACTGTTTCGATAAGAAATATATAAATTGCAATTTCTGTTCCTGCTGCTGCTGCATTACTGTTGCTGCCAATTCAGTTTGTCGTTGCCATCTAAAATGCATTGAGCTGTCACATTAGAGCAGCAACTCGATACGTCAGGCGCTAGCCCCCAACAGCCCCCCCCCCTATTTTCCAACGCCCCCCACCCAGCCGTCCATTAGGGGAGCTCAGCGTTTTACTTGCAGTCAAACAATTTTTTTTATCAATCAGCTTTGAAGGTGTTACTGCAGTAGATGTTGCTGCTGCTGCGACTGTTGCAGTTGCTGCTGCCGCAGCAGCAAGCGTTTGTCGTTGCGTGCACTTTGGTGGAAATGGCTGTTGACGCTAGCTATATGGAATACTTATAAGTAAAAATACATATTTTTATTCAATTTGCAACATCACGTCGGGACGTCGCCACTCCGGCATTGTCTTTTGTTATTTTTACACTTGCCCTGGCACCACCGCACCACCGCACCAGTGCACCACCCCCGCCACCCCCTCGCTATTTATCTGACGATGTTTTTGCCCCCCCGCGTTTTTTCAATTATGCATCGCACAATGCTTTTCTTTCCTTTTGCCGTTCCGTTCCGTTCCTTTTCCTTTCATTTATACCTCTTTTGCAGCCCCCGCTCCCCCGGGGGCAACTGTTCAACTGTTTAGCCTGTCGGATTAGCCACGCAGCTGTCGCCGCGCTGGAAAAGCATTTCCCCATTTCCTCGTGCCAGTTAGTCGCCCTCCAAATGCAGTGCCAGTAAGTTGGCCAGTTAATGTCTTTGTGTATGGCGTAGACTTTCCGGCAAAGGTGTGGGAAAAACCCGTACTAGAAGTGGTAAGGCTGGAAGGAAGATACAAAGATACAAGATACAAATATGTGGATGCCTAGAATAAGAATCGAATGAGTTAAATAACAATAAGAACCAATAATGCCTTCACAATACTGCTAATTG